AGCCTATTGCTTGGGCCAGAGCTAATTAGGCAGATCACAGAGAAAGTGTCATTGATTAGAGAGCACATTCTTGCTGCATAAAGTCGACAAACAAGTTATGCAGATCAGCAGAGGTGACCACTAGACTTCCAGGTCGGAGACTTAATTATGTTGAAAGTATCACCGATAAAGGGCGTTCAGCGATTTGGTAGACATGGAAAGCTTGCCCCGAGATGTGTTGGTCCCTTCAGGATTATTGAGCGTATTGGAGCTGTTTTCTATAGATTAGAACTTCTAGCATCAATGTTGAGTGTATACGATGTCTTTCATATTTTGATGCTCAAAAAGCATTTGCGCGATGAGGAGCAGCAGAGGGTGATTGATGCACCGGAGATCGAGATCCAGAATGATTTGACTACCGTAGGGATTCTGGTATGCATTCTTGCTAGAGAGAATAAAAAGCTTAGAAATAAAGTCATTCCATTAGTGAAAGTTCAGTGGAGCCGGAATGGAGCCGAAGAGATTTCTTGGGAGCATGAGGAAGATGTACGTTGCGACTACCCACACTAATTTTAGTAGGTAAGATGTTGATATTTATATGTGCTTACATGCATTGGTAGTTATGATTATATATGCTGTTTAGTCATGATTATACTTAACGCTAGAATGATGGTATTGGCACTTGACTCCTAATCATTCGGAACACATGGTATATGAGGGTTCTTTGTTTGGTTTTTTCGCCCGACGTACTAGTTCCATTTAGTTAGGGTTTAAGTGGGAGTATTCGCATTCTAGATTGTTAAGTGTAAATATATCTATGTTTCATATCGAGAGATTAATGGTGAGAGATGTGTATGTGAGGGTTTCCTTATCTGGATTATCCCCTCAACATGATTTTTTGGTATTATTAATCTCTAGAATACGATTGTGAAATTTCGGGGACGAAATTCTTTTTAAGGAGGGAAGAATATGTAAAACTCTAAAAATTTGAATATTATGTGAAAAATAAAAATAAATATGCTATATGGTGAAAATAACATATTTTGATGCTTGAGTATGATAAGAATTGATTTGAGATCAATTCAATGTATATTTATGAATATATGAGTGCAAATGCACAAAACATGCACGAAGAGAAATCTGGAAAAATGACTAGTTAAGAGTTTATATATTTTACACACCGATACAATTTGAATCTAGAAAAACTCAAAAGAATAAAATTGTAGGTTACTTCAACAGATTTCCAACAAATCTTATATCACCTCATTCTAAGGTCGGATGAGAAAGTTACAGCCAAAATACCGAAGGTTAATTTCCCAGTCAGACTAGGTTTCCTGAATCGGGTCAAACATGTTTANCTTCCTCTCTCTCAAACATTAGTCCTAAAGTGAGTTTTTGGGAGAGTTTGTGAGGAGAACGTCGAGGGAAAGTCGGGATTTTCGGTGTTTGGTGATGGGGTAATCACTTTATGTTCTTTTCAGAGGCTTGTACATATACAAATGCAAGATCACCTCTGTCCAAACTATTCCCTTAAATAAAAATCATGTTTTTAAGAGATTTATATGTTTAACTTTATGTTTAGGGTTTAAATCTAATGTTAAACATGTTACATGTGATGTTTATGATTAAATCTTATATCAAGAATAGTAGAACGAATTTGAAACTAAGATATTGACATGATCATGATCATTAGGGTTTATTTTAATGAGTTAATTATAGTTTAATATGATTTATATGCTTTAGATTGTCGAAATAAATAAGAATTAGGTTGTTTTGCACGTTAAACCCTAGATCTATGTGTTCATGTGATTCATCTTGTTTAAACAAACTCCTGGTTAAGTATACATGACGATGGAATCAAGTTTTATTCATATAATTTGATAAAAACCCGAGTTTTTGAAGAAAACACTAGAGAAGAACAAACTGTGCATTTTTGACATGTTCAGTAGACTGAAGTTGCCATCAGTCGACTGACGGGAGGTCATCAGTCGACTGATGGCAAACATCAGTCGACTAACGGGCTTATGTTTTCCCTGCTATTTTGTGAACGACCCTATCAGTCGACTGATGGAGTTGTCAGTCGACTGATCAGGTCAGCTTTTGTGAGATTGAACCTTTTGCTTGTGTGTTCATTTGGTGAGCAGTTTTGTGCAAGACATGAGCTGATATTCACGCATAGTTTAAAGAGTACACGTACGGGGATTGAGTATGCATGATTACATTGTTTGGGGTATCCAAATAGGTTACAATCGTTAAGAGTAACGTCTATTATTATATATATTATAATTATAATCGGTTGGGTGTGGTTAGTCAGGTCCCGTAATGAGACCACGGATGGACTATACTCCGAGTGATTTAGTCTGGTCTTACAATGAGATCACAGATGGACTACACTTCTTTATCGGTTCGCATGGAGATGCACGAGGTTAAAATATCTATCTATCGGTCCTCACTAAAATGTGCAAAGATTGATATACCTAACTATCGGTCCGCATGATTATGCGATTAGTTATTATACTTAGTTACCAGTCCACACGGGAGTGTGATGAATTATCATACCTACTTATTGTTCCACATGGGAGTGCAATGAACTGACATATCTATTTACCGGTCTGCATAGGGGTGCGATAAGTTAAAGTATTACAGAGAAGAATGATTCGATAAATAACCTAAGTGTAGGTGAATATTGACATCATCGATATGATCCATTGTGAAAGAATTTTACAACTTAGATACATGAGTGTGTCAATATCTATTTTACCCACTAAGGGTAGTATGAGGAGTTGATATGATATTTTTGGAGATGTATGAAGTGGTATTTCATGTATTATCTTTCTTGTATTCATTTATTCTTAGTTTTAGAGTTAATATTTAGCGGTTCACAATTTGAGACATATGGTATATACATGAGGGTTTCCTTATTTGGATTATTTTGCTCGACGTACCAGTCTCGTATTGTGAGTTTCTAAGTATTAACCTTAATTTAGTACAAGGTAAATGAACTAGGTAGACTATGCACTTATAAGTAGAGTCTCCATCATACCTAGTAGCCCTTGCCCTGGGTGCGAATGTAGATGATCTTGCTAGCACTCTGACACTGTGGTTTTTACTTTTTTTCATGTAGTGGAGCAGAGATTCGGAGAGCCGCAGGTTGATGGATTTTCAGCATAGTCATCGTCATATATGTTTAGTAGTTCTGCTCCATACATGTTTAGTTTATATTTCTAGTTGATGTTTAGATTTGTATTACATTTTAAGAGCTGAGAGAGCTTATGTACTATTTAGTTGACTCTTGTAGTTGAGATTTTCGATCATTTGTTTTAGATTGTTGAATATATTTTCTTTTATATATGTTGAGACCTGATTATTTGGAGATTTATCAAACATTTCTCTATTCTGTTTCTTGTCTTCGTCTCTTTTATATCTGCTTGTACTTGTACTGTCTTATTTGTTTTCACTAGAGGTATATTTTTGTGATGGTGAAACATGTCATTGCACAGTATAGGTTCATGACAGGTTTGACATCCTTGGTTTTACCTTAAACTATAGCCTTGTGTGAACCCAGGGGCGTCACACTCCAGGCTCTTGTTTCATCTGGATTAGCACATAAGGGGGAGCTTCTGCTTAGTGTCAACCAAGAAATGGTGGATGAGCTTCTGGCTGAGTTATTGGAAGCTACTGATGGACTTCTTCTTAAGAGCGTTCCATTAGGGCTTAACACTTCCCGAAAGAGTGATGGGGAAGCATCGGCAGATAATTGCTTTCGATGCTTGGAGGATGATCATCACATCATAGTAGTTCTGGACATGCTTGAAGGGGTCTCCCTTGCCCTTGTACTTTTCCACGTGAGACATCTTGAACTTCTCACATAGGGCGTTCATGAGGTCATTAGTAAGGGGGGAGGGTGTTCCCCCCAACAGCTTCTGCAATCGATCTGTACATCCGACCGTATCTGAAAATTCCTATGGTAGCAGAGGTGCCGGAGAGGCATGGTGGTGGGGGAGAGTCATAGGGACTGCCCTCATGGTGCGATCCCCAGGGTGACCAGGGTCGGGACTCTCATTGGTGACTTCAAGATGATGGAGGGGACGTCAGCGAGGTTCTTTGGGGCGAGTCGACCGACGAGGTGGCGAGTTCGAGGCAATACTATTTGCTGTGCTCTAGAAGGAGGATTAGTCTCTGATTGCTGGTCTCCGGAAGGTGGAGGGACAGTGTAAGTTGCTTTCTGAGGTTGTGGAAGCTGGCTAAGGAGCTCACTGGTGAAGATAGAGAGTTGCTGTTGGAGAGATTGAGAAATCTTATGAGCTGTGTCATCAAGCTGAACTTGAGTAACGCAGCTCTGATGTGGTCCTTCAGGGTGAGACTAATCAGCCCTATCCTCAGAGTCAGACATGCTTTCTCGAAAAAGAAAGTAGCCCACGGTGGACGCTAAACTGTTGATGTTAAATAATCAAACAGTCAAATTTATGGGATGAGGTATTAGTCTCTTAAATTGTCATTAGTTGTTGATATCAGTCCCTCAAGTTAGTTTCTATTAATTCTAGAGGGGAATATTCCATTATCTATAACTATATTGAATTTATGCGACATTTATGTCCCTCACCAACCTAACCCATTTAGATCAGACCCATTAACTCGATCCTCATACCCCATATAACCCAGACCCGATCCCCATGACCAAGACTCGATCCCACTCTTTCTTCTTCCCCGACGGTACATTTTCAAGCAAAACCCAACCATTGTTTAGGTTTTTTTAACAGAAAACCTAACAGGACTAATATCAATAACTAAAGGCAATGAGGGGCTGGCATCAAAATACTCAAACTTGAGGGACTAATACAAAATAGCTCAGATTTGGGCTAATATCTAATAACCCAAATAAAGAATTGAACTCAAAAGATTCCTGAAATCAAATAAATTAAATATAACAACTCAGAAGAAGAGCTCATGAAGTCATGATAAACTAACTAGCGTTCTTGACATAACTTCAAATTTAAACTATATATATAACACAATATTATCAAGAGTGGCGTCTACATGACATTGGACAATCCAATTCAACTATACATACCATCTAACTAGACATTTACAGAAATAAACTATACACCACAACTCTATGCATCTAATAATAAATAATGGACAAATTTTCAAAATAAACCCTATTAGAAATTTATTTTTAAAAATCAAACCCTTTAAAATTTAATTATCATGTTCGACCTAGTTTCAGCCAGCTGTCTGAAACCAAGTCGAAAATGGTAAATAAATTTCAAAAACTTCACGGGATTTTAAATCCCGTGAATTTTAGCGCGGTTAATCAAGCAATAAACTTCACGAGATTTTAAATTCCGTGAAGTTTTCGAACTTCTGCAGCTTCATTAGCGTGGTTAATCAAGAACTAAACTTCACGAGATTTTAAATCTCGTGAAATTTTTGAACTTTATTTGCCATTTTCGAACCTGTTTCAGCCAGGTGGCTGAAACTAGGTCGAAAATGACAATTAAATCTCAAAGGGGCCGTTTGCTAAAAATAAATTACTAATAAGGTCTATTTTGAAAATTTAGCCATAAATAAATTACACAAACCCTTCAATAATCTCCTAAGTTTGCCAACTTGGGCCCACATCCAAGAACAAACCCAACTCATCTCCACCACAAGACTCTATTTCCAGTTGGGGAGTGAAGTCATGGAAGCTGCACTGCGGCAAATTGGACTCATCATCATCAATGAACCTTGAGCTATTGCTGTTATTATTGTTGTTCTCTTGATTTGGAGCATTGCAGGGTGAAGAGCTAATCTCCCTATAGCTTTGCAAGCTTAAGGGCTGGTCCCCAATTAAAGGAGGTGATGAGCCGATTTTGGTCTCTTGCTCCTCTCCTTTCCTCCTGTGCATTACCCTACAGAGTACCCAGTCCTCCTGCAGTACAAAGAAGCCCAAAAACAATACAAGTCATGGGGACAAGTAACACTTTGCACTATATACAATGCATCAATTTTGTAATGAAATTAGAGGATAAACATGTATGTAGTATGCATGCTTCTAAATTTTCCCATCTAAAAGATGATAATTTTCAGGGAAAATTTGCAAAACAGTCCGTTTTTGCTAATTATTTAGCAAAATAGATCATTTTGCTAAATAATTAGCAAAATAAACCTCTTTTGAAAAAAAGAGGTCGATTTTGAAAAACAAGGCTCAGAAAATATACGGGACTACTAGTCCCGTATGTTTAGAGTCAACTTAATCACAGATAAGTGACTCAGAAAACATACGGAACTAGTAGTCCCGTATGTTTTCTGAGTTTTCTGAGTTCACTAATCCGTGATTAAAACATACGGGACTACTAGTCCCGTCTGTTTTTTGAGCTGTTTTGCAAAATAGACCTCTTTTTGACCTGTTGGCCAAAAAGAGGTCTATTTTGCTAATTATTTAGCAAAATGGTCTATTTTGCTAAATAATTAGCAAAAACGGTCTATTTTACAAAATTTCCCTAATTTTCATGCGTACTTGCTCATTTGTTTTTTGTTGTTGTGCTTTTTGTTATCGTATGTATGCTCTTTAAATCATGCGTATTTGGAAAAAAAATACCCCTCAAATCTTATTATTTGCAAAATTATTAGTCAGTTTTGGAAAAAATACCCCCAAATCAACAAATCGCCAACCCTGATTCAGTAATTTGCTTTATCCAAAGTCGATGATCGGGTCTGATTCAGTAATTTGCAAAATAGTCCGTTTTTGCTAATTATTTAGCAAAATAGATAATTTTGCTAAATAATTAGCAAAATAGACCTCTTTTGAAAAAAAGAGGTCGATTTTAAAAAACAAGGCTCAGAAAATATACGGGACTATTAGTCCCGTATGTTTAGAGTCAACTTAATCACAGATTAGTGACTCAGAAAACATACGGGACTAGTAGTCCCGTATGTTTTCTGAGTTCACTAATCCGTGATTAAAACATACAAGACTACTAGTCCCGTATGTTTTCTGAGCTGTTTTGCAAAATAGACATCTTTTTGACCTGTTGGCCAAAAAAGGTCTATTTTGCTAATTATTTAGCAAAATGGTCTATTTTGCTAAATAATTAGCAAAAACGGTCTATTTTTACAAAATTTCCCTAATTTTCATGCGTACTTGCTCATTTGTTTTTTGTTGTTGTGCTTTTTGTTATCGTATGCATACTCTTTAAATCATGCGTATTTGGAAAAAAATACCCCTCAAATCTTATTATTTGCAAAATTATTAGTCAGTTTTGGAAAAAAATACCCCCAAATCAACAAATCGCCAACCCTGATTCAGTAATTTGCTTTGTCCAAAGTCGATGATTTGGGGTTATTTTGCAGATACTGAGATTTGAGTATAGATTTGTAAAGGTGGATGATTTAAGGGGTATAGACACACACACACGCAGGCACACAAAAAAGATATGGAAGTACGCAATAAAAGAAAGAAGGAAAAAAAATCAATATCGTTAAACTACAAAAACAACAAATTAAAGATTCCAACTTATTCTCAACAAAAAAGTTCATGTTTAATACTATTCTCGATCAATATGGGTTGAGTTTCATCATCAACCATCCCATGGTACGTACGTGCTCATACTTACAGATCCTGGGCTTTCCTGGACACGCGAGCGTGTCGATCAGTCGTCTGTTCAGACTCTGCGGTATCGAGAAAGTAAAGTCTATTTTCACCCTCCTCTGAAGGAATACCTTCTTAAATTGGGCATGTAATTTCAAATTTAAACGTTGCTTCTCCAAGTATATAACAAATAACTAACTATATAAATTGTTGAATGCGTTTCGTTGGTGGTGATGATGATGATGATGATGATACCTTTGGAGGTGAATGGGGGTTCTCAAGGCGAAACTCATGCATGACCCAACTGGATTTGATCCCGTTCGGAGCTCTCCCTCGGTAAAAGACCAACGTCTTCCTTAACCCTACAACCCCACGGGTCGACGGGTCGCAGACCATTCGGTCCTTTCCAGTGGCCTTCCAGTATCCAGACTTGCTCGCTCGATTGCTTCTTGAGCCAGTTGCGTATTTGCGGTCTCTGAAGCTGAAGAAGTACCATTCATTTGCGTTCAGCCTGGCCACATCTGAGGGCCGACGCAATTAAAGAAAATAAGGAAAAAAAAAAAAGAGAGTTCGAACTTAATTAATTTGAAGAGTAGAGATATATAGATAACACGCACGGCGGTAAACGTACACTCACTTGTTGCCGATGACATGGGTTAATTTGCGCGCGCAGTTACTTACAAATCAAATTGAATAGAAAATCCCAAATTAATTGATGAAAAGATATTGTGCGGTTTAATTAGTATTCTCAAACCTCACTAATTAGAATATTCTTTTACCGTACCCACCAATTAAACGTTCTAGCTAGCTAGTCTAAAAACAAAATTAACATCTTGGACACAATTAAGAATGTCTTAATAAAAACATCAAAAATAAAAAGAAACTGGCAGTTATAGTTCTCTCTGGAATCGATATATATATATATAGTTTAAACGAGAAGAATTAATTAATGATGATAATTAAGTGTAAACACGGTCTGTAAATCCTGTTTGAACTCTCAAGTGCACATTCTTCTTGGTTGGGGATGTGTATATCCATGTAACAGCCAAAGTTTCTTTAATTTAGCTGTCTGGATTACCGTTATGATTAACAGTAATCCATCCTTTCTCTCAAAAAAAAAAAAAGTGTAAACACAAATTAAATTAAGGTGACTAGCTCACCAGGGAGTTCCCACGGGTCGTGAGTATGCAGGTCCACTTCCACCATGGTTCCCTCCACGGCTCCCTCGGTACTCCTCACCTTCCTGCAGAGATAGTGGCACACCAACTCCTCATCGTTCGGGTAGAACCTGAACCCCGGCGGCAAACTGGACTCTATATCCCTCAACCCCATGCTTCCTGCAGTTTGCGTGTGAAGGAGAGAGATCATGAGGGAGTACGTAGCGGGAGATGCGATTAGGGTTTGTTTCTTTTGTTGGGTTTTGGGCTATATATCTATGATCTATAAATTTAATTAATTAGAGGCATAAAGTATTCTTCGGTGTTGAAGCGTGAATGCTTATATAAAGATCGAAATTAAGACCGTGGATGGATGTTGAACTAGTTTGATCGCGAAAGCTGCCACTCATCATATATATTCTCGTCCTTTTTCTTCGCGCGTCGCAATCTCCGGAAAGAAGCTAGCTAGGACCTCATGATACTTGTTCTACAAGAAGAACTAGAGAAGACCTATAATTGCAAGAAATCTCCAAAAGGGCGCCGAGTAAAAACTAACATTGTGTCACCCCTATATCCGTCCTTTTGAGTAGAAAAGAAAATTTACATTAAAGTACTTTGGGGAAATTGCTTTTAGCCCCCAATTTCCTTACAAGTATTATGCCCCATCACAAGACTTTTTCAATGCTCCCAAAACCCTCAAAAGTAAAGCGATGGTTCCCTGAGCCACCAAAATACAAAACTCAAGTGATTAAAATATGTGAAGACCATAATCTCTCTTTCTCTCTCTCTCTCTCTCTCTCATGCAACCTTCACAACCAAACCGTAACCTTCACAACCAACATGCAACCTTAACAATCAACCAGTAACCTTAACAACTAACGCATAACGTTCACAACCAACTCGTAACCTTTACAACCAACCCGTAACACCTTCACACCAACATGTAACCCCCAAGAAAATCTCTTTTCTCCCTTCTCCTTCTTTACAAATTTCACAAAAAAATGAAGCAAAAAAACTGCAGCTCATCATTATCATCATCATCTCCTCCCCTCTCCTTCCCCTCCCTCTCCTTGATCATGGGGCCTCACCCCGGGCATCAAAACCTCAAACAACCTCTACCTCGAGATCACCAACAACGAATCCTCTCTCCTTGCCTCCCCTTCCCTCACCCGCACCGTCAACGTGGCCATCCTCCGCATCAAGAACCCCTGCGATTCCACTCTTTTGGAATCCTAGTAGCTCCTCTCTGACGAAACCCTAAGGAGCAGGAACCGCCCTTTGTTCGAGAAGATGACGTCGGGGAGCCCGTCGAGGATGTGGCGGCTCACGCGGTCAGGGAGGGAGGGGCTGGGGGAAAATGTTAGGGTCAGGGTCCTGATGGAGATGTACCGGGTGGAGGTCGATGAGGAGAAGGAGTCTGTTTCGTACCTAGGACTGCCGGCGAGGTATTTGCAAAGAGAGAGAGAGAGAGAGAAATGTTATTATGGTATTCACATATTTTAATCACTTAGGTTTTGTGTTTTGGGGCTTAGTGAATTATCACTTTACTTTTGGGGGTTTTGGGAGCGTTGAAGAAGTCTTTGGTGAGGACGGAATACTCGTATAGATCGAAAATAAGGGCTAGAAGCAATTTTCCTTAAAACTTTTCTAGACATATAAGATTGGAGTTATCTTTTCATCACAATGATACAAACTATGCTCGTGGGTCTCATCTTTGTTTGTCTAAACGTTGGCAGATTTTTCAAACACCCGCACGCTACCAAATTAAGGAGAGTTCCTGAATGAGAATATTTCTTTGCAGTACTATTCGCTATTTTCCTTTGGTTTGTTTCTCAGCATATTAATGTTTCACATGCATGCTGCCATCCTCCAGGTTCAACATGGAAAGTTGACGCATAATTTTGTACTACTTTAAAGGAAATTAGAACTAATTAAGTTAGTTAATGGTGACGTTGTGCAAAGACTTTGCTTAATTCTGTTCTAAGATAAGAAGGATTAAATAATGTAAAAGGCAAATTATGTTGTCACCATGTGAGTGAGTATATTGATTGATTGAGAAGAGAACTGGGAATAACGATCTGAATGTTAATGTGATTGATAGAGACAAGTGGTCGACAAATAATGGAGGTTAGGGCATCATATCAGAGATTCCTTTGAGATGACCATAATAACCCTAACTGTGTAAACGGGGCTGCAATTGGCTGAGGATTCTATCTATGGCTCCGTTTAGAAGAAAAATATGATATCATAAAGAGCTTTGCTATAGAGAACTAAATATATGGAACCAACATGCTTGTCCTTCCCTATTGGTCATATATTTTGGGTCCTTAGGGAAATTTTCTATCATAAAAGCAGGGTAGAGCGAGAGACATTACTCAGACTGGTAGAGTGAAAACTGTAGACCATAGCGAAATTTAAACTCTTAGGTGCCGTTTGGAAAGGGGTTAAGTGAATATAGTTAAGAAGAAGGACTAACTTACTTAACCATTGATAAGAGGTTATAAATAATTTGATTCCCTTCGGATTTGATAATAAATATGAAGGGTTTTTTTGTTGTGTTTGGCAAATGAAGATGAGTTAAGGAGGCTAGTCGTCATAAATAT